GAGACATGCACAGGCAATGTCTCCCGGAATGACACATGCAGACCAACAAGAGTGCACAATGCACTCTTGTCGGTCAAAGTTCCGCATTCAAGTTATGAATGCGGAACAGTATGCCATTCTGGGAGACATGCACAGGCAATGTCTCCCGGAATGACACATGCAGACCAACAAGAGTGCACAATACACTCTTGTCGGTCAAAGTTTTGCAATCGTATTCTGATTGCAATAAATTGTCTCGTTCTGGGAGACATGCACAGGCAATGTCTCCCGGAATGACACATGCAGACCAACAAGAGTGCACAATGCACTCTTGTCGGTCAAAGTTCCGCATTCAAGTTATGAATGCGGAACAGTATGCCATTCTGGGAGACATGCACAGGCAATGTCTCCCGGAATGACACATGCAGACCAACAAGAGTGCACAATGCACTCTTGTCGGTCAAAGTTCCGCATTCAAGTTATGAATGCGGAACAGTATGCCATTCTGGGAGACATGCACAGGCAATGTCTCCCGGAATGACACATGCAGACCAACAAGAGTGCACAATACACTCTTGTCGGTCAAAGTTTTGCAATCGTATTCTGATTGCAATAAATTGTCTCGTTCTGGGAGACATGCACAGGCAATGTCTCCCGGAATGACACATGCAGACCAACAAGAGTGCACAATGCACTCTTGTCGGTCAAAGTTCCGCATTCAAGTTATGAATGCGGAACAGTATGCCATTCTGGGAGACATGCACAGGCAATGTCTCCCGGAATGACACATGCAGACCAACAAGAGTGCACAATGCACTCTTGTCGGTCAAAGTTCGCATTCAAGTTATGAATGCGGAAATTGCCATTCTGGGAGACATGCACAGGCAATGTCTCCCGGAATGACACATGCAGACCAACAAGAGTGCACAATGCACTCTTGTCGGTCAAAGTTCCGCATTCAAGTTATGAATGCGGAACAGTATGCCATTCTGGGAGACATGCACAGGCAATGTCTCCCGGAATGACACATGCAGACCAACAAGAGTGCACAATGCACTCTTGTCGGTCAAAGTTCCGCATTCAAGTTATGAATGCGGAACAGTATGCCATTCTGGGAGACATGCACAGGCAATGTCTCCCGGAATGACACATGCAGACCAACAAGAGTGCACAATACACTCTTGTCGGTCAAAGTTTTGCAATCGTATTCTGATTGCAATAAATTGTCTCGTTCTGGGAGACATGCACAGGCAATGTCTCCCGGAATGACACATGCAGACCAACAAGAGTGCACAATGCACTCTTGTCGGTCAAAGTTCCGCATTCAAGTTATGAATGCGGAACAGTATGCCATTCTGGGAGACATGCACAGGCAATGTCTCCCGGAATGACACATGCAGACCAACAAGAGTGCACAATGCACTCTTGTCGGTCAAAGTTCCGCATTCAAGTTATGAATGCGGAACAGTATGCCATTCTGGGAGACATGCACAGGCAATGTCTCCCGGAATGACACATGCAGACCAACAAGAGTGAACAATCCGCTTTCTCCTTTGAAATCCAACATTCTAATCACATCTACAATAATAAATTGTTATAAAATACTAATCAAAGATCCAATACAATTCTACTATCTTATTCACACATTACCAATGTTAACACCTCTTATAACTTAAATTATTTCATAAAATTTGTTTTTATATCTTATTATTTTCTCATAATGCTTCTAATACATCTCTAATTTCTTACATTCAAACACCAATATCGTCATACTATCATAAGCACTTAATTTTTTCAAAATTTTAGACTTAAATTTGAGCTACATTTTCATCATCATTTTTAGCCTTAAGCTTCTATAAGGTTATAATACATTATCGTAATATTCTAATATTTATGATTCTTACTACTCAATTCAATATAATCATATAAGTCACTCATAATCAGGAGCATAATTTAAAAATCTATAGCTCATATTTTGACAATTATATATATAGATGATGCATATTGCAATTCCGGTTTCAACACGATCAAATGTCAAACCATGATAAAATATATATCAATTTACAAAATATCGATTAACATTAGAATCCATATCTAATTCCATCAATGCACAAGTTGTAAATGCTTAATTCATCTTTGAGAAACGTGAATAGCACAATTTTATAAGATTATTTGTTGAATATTTAAAATATAAGCCAAATCGAATCTGCTGTATATTACTTTAGTTTATCATTGAATGTTAAATGTGTTCATATAAATATTTGAGTCAGATATCGCATTTTCTAATTTCAAAATTTATCTCATGAAGTTAGAATTTATTTGATCATACAACATCATATTAGTCAAACTAGAGTTCAATCGCGATTCCAAAATGGAACAATTGCTTGTTTTATCAAAATGTTAAAATATTAATCTAAAAAACTTAATATCTAACCAAAACATTCTAGAAATATCATATACAGGTATATGCAATCTAAATGCACACGAAATACTGAAAATTAAAAAGAATATTTATGAGATTATTAAATCTTATGCATTTCAATGAAGAGTCGATAATTATCATCTCTATAGGTTATATATCAACATATGAGTTTTTGGATTGACCACTACTATACTAATGTGATCAAATTAATCTGATTTCTTGAATTTTCATTTGAAGCATTCGCAGTAGTAGGAGTACCTTCATATATTAACATATTAAAAAATTGCGCCCAGATTCGCAGTTTAATCATGATTTTAAGATTGCATTAGATTTCGAAATGCAGAAAAAAATCACTTTAGATTCCCTTCAAACTCTAAGCATAAGCATGTCTCTATATGAGGAAACTATTTGAGCTATTCATTTGGCGGCCCAAAAACTCATGTTGCCTGAGCGCAGAAAATACCAATTTTTGGACCCTGGGTAGGGGGTCATGCATGTTTTCTAAATGTTGGAAAAGTAGGGTAATTATAGAATATCTCCAAACTTACTAACCTTTCTAAAAGTATGAATTCTTTCTTGTGAGAAAATGAATTTGAATCAAAATCGAACTTTTGAATATATAAAGTTGGAATTTTGATTGGAAAGCTGAGAAAATAAGTAAGTTTGCTTTGCATTCTTTTTTATTAACTATTTTAATATCTTTGTCGATGGATAACTTTTAGATTAATTCAATTTAAAACGTTAACGAGAATTGTGTCTTTGAATAGACTGATTACTGATGCAATAAAGTAGTTATGCAGTAAAAAGTAGAATTCGGTAACTAAAATCCTAATTTTACTGTATCAATGAATGCGGTATATGAATCAGTATAGATTCATTGAGCAAAAATGATTAAAATACCTCTCTTTTTTCTAATTCATTTATTTTTATATCATTATTAGTGCAAATAGTCAGTGTTATGTTAAGATATTAACGCTGTTCCAAAAAAATAGTAATTTATACGTTTAATATGAGTTGCATTAGCAAAAAAATGCATTGATGGTAAAATTAGCTTGAATTGATCCAATTCAAATTCCAAATTTTTTTCAAAATAAAAAAAATTAATTTAAAATTTGTTAGAAAAACTATGAAAATCATGATTTTATGAAATATTTAGAATATTTTCAGAGGTTAATTATATTTATTTTTAGATAATAAATATATTTTCCTATGGAAATTTGAAATTATAATGCTTATATGATATAAATCTATTCGAAAATACGAGTTTTTAGACAAAATCTCATAGAATATGACTATACATTGAAAAATATCAACCTTCCAATATAGATATTAAACAATGAACATCTTATTTAACAATTTTATAATTAAATCTTTACTAGGACTGATATAGCATTTAACACAATTCAATATATCAATAGTCTTTTCTAGACGAGTCATATTTCGGAGCTAATTGATAAATTTTTATTACAATTTCAAATTTCAGGTTATATATTCTAAAATATCAATTGATATCACAATCATCACAATCAACACAAGCTTTTACACTATTTACAATATATAAATTATTAACAAAGTTCATTATTAAACAATTTTGTATTAAATAAATGCAGTGTTTTATTGTTGAATATGAAAAATAAATGTCATTCTAACAAAATTTTAAGCTTATATATTACGTCCGTCAAAACTGAGAATAAAAAAAATTAATAATTTAATAAATTGATTTTTTATTTTAATTTCATATGTAATGATCTATACAAAACGAAAAAGCGTCATGCTCTATACCAGATCCGAATTAATCTTCATAAAAACTTCGAATCAAATATTTTTCGTATTTAGATTGCATTTTCTTCATAATAGTAATGTAAATATGACGAAAAAAACTAATAGTTTTCGATACACCTTAGTGTAAGGGCGTCGCTGCTTAAAATTTTTGTCGTATTTTTTTTGATGATTTGGAACTTAACCAAATACATTTTTATAATAACAGCATTATTTGTAATACGCCAAATTTATATGTTCCAAGGGATAAATGGAAATAACTCGAGTATTTATTTGTAAATTTAAGTAAATCTCTTGTCGTTTTTTTAAAAACTTGATTTTCAACGATGAAGTCACGCAATTAGGTTCAAAGTTTCATGCCCTATAGTCAGATTTTGTAGATGGAATAGTAGCTCCACTAACTCTAATCAAATCTTGCTAAAAATGTCACTTTTTCGCACATTTTGGCACTTTTCTGCAAAAACCATTTTTGACACGCCCGTAAATGCAAAAAGCCCCTCCCTCAATCGACGAAGAATTTGAAAGGAGGAAAAAGCGTATTCGTTTCTCATTTTATATGATTTCATAAGAGTTCCTATACAGAAGTATATTCATCATTAAATAAAGATTAGTACACCGATGGAATTTTTTTCAGATTTTTGAAAGTCGAAATAAAATACCAATAAGTCATAAACTCAAGAATTCTCTATTAAAGGATTGTTAATATCAAATCGTATCAAAAAGATTTTCGATTTGTGACATGTGATATAAAATAACAATAGCCGAACTTTGAAAGCAATGGTCCTCTTTATGGAGGACCACAACCTAAATCTCGATTTTTATGCACGTGCGTCGGTTAACTATGCCTCCGATCGCACCGCTAGTGACACTGACCTGCGATGACAACACTAATAGGTTTCAAAGGAAAGTTAACCAGTACAATCTTCTAAAAACTATAGGTCAAGGCGCAAACTGCAAAGTTGTTCTTATCCAAGATTCCTTAAATAGGAAGTACTATGCAGCTAAAGTATTTAAGCTTGCGAAAACCTACCCAAACGCGAAGACTTCTCTTCCATTAGAAAGGGAAGTAAGAATAATGAAAAAAATTCATCACGAAAACATCGTAAACTTCCGCGAAGTCCTCTTTGCTCCTGAGAAGAATGCGTTTTACCTAATTATGGAGTGGGGTAACTGCGGTTCTTTGCAAAATCTTATTGATACTAAGATAAAAATTGCAGAAAAAACCATAGCTTCGATATTCAGGCAATTAGTTAACGGGCTTTCATATCTACATAGCCAAGGTTTCGTTCATCAAGATATAAAACCATCAAATGTTCTTCTTTTCTCTGATGGTACCGCAAAAATAGGGGACTTTGGCATCGGCCATTCATTCCAGAGTGCCGAAACCGTTGTAGGAACACCAGCTTACCAAGCTCCCGAAATTTTTGATGATAGTTATGATGACTTGACTGATCTTCCTGCATTAGACCCAGCAAAGGAAGACGTCTGGAGCCTCGGCGTTACATTATTTGAAACTCTGTTTGGAAAATTGCCTTTTACAGGAGAAAATGTTTACGAAATTGCTAGAACAATTCGAAAAATCGGTCTTGTACTACCTAATAATATCTCAGGACCTCTAAGTGACCTTCTTTTTGGAATGTTGAACCCAGATCCAACAAAGAGGCTTTCACTCGATGAAGTAAAAGAGAGTTCTTTCTTTAAGGACTCTTCTGACAGGTTTGTTCCGCCAATCAACCCAGTAGAACCACCAAAGCCAGATAATCTTTTACCAATCTACCAAATAGCTGCTTCTGTATGCGATGATACTTTTTCTGTTGCATCAAAGAAGAATTTGTCTATCTCTAACTCATGGGATGGACTTAATGAACATTACTTAATATCTAATAAATAATGCGGAAATATTGTTTAATTACATATCATTTTTTACCATTTTCATATAAATATTCCATGAAAACAATGAAAACTAAAATATAAAATTTCATATTTTTTAAATTTTTTCTTTCTGATTGATGATTTACTGAAATACATTGTTTAAAAAAGCATTATGATCACATTGTTCACTTACAAAATAATAAAAGCTGTTTGTATTCTTGAATGAGTCGCCTAAGCCATCTTGTAGATGATCAACAAACAGAAAATGATTCAGCAAGACATAAAAATTCAACAAATATATGCCAAATCTATGAAAAAACAGGAGCTTGTCCAAATGATTATTTTCCAAAATGCTGCCCTTTCAAACACCCGATTAAATTAATGAGTAGGTGCTTAGTTTTTCATCATTTATATCCAAATCCAGACTATTTCGCTTCATTTCTACCAAAAAACGAACAAACAATGATAAAAACAAGAAACCTGCAATCTATGATCGACTCTTTCTTCTTAGATGTATACGCAGAATTCAAGCAATTCGGAAACGTACAAGATATTGTAATTGCGTCTAATCTTACAGAACATTTATATGGAAATGTATATGTTAGATTTAATGAACCAGATGAAGCATTGGCATGTCACAAAGCTCTTCAAGGAAGATTTTATGCTGGTAGAAAAGTTACATCATCGTTAATATTTTTTGACAAACTTTCTTCACTAATATGCGTTTCCAAACAAAGCGGCAAATGCTTTCATGGACAATGTTGCCCTTATGTTCATCCATTGCAAATATCAAGAGATGTTTTTAATCAAGCTTTTCCAAGAATTTTACTTTCTACGCCATCAGCCCTTTTAACAAATACACCAGATGATTATGTTTCAGATCCAAATATGGTTGTTTAACTTTTATCTATACATTTTTTATTGTTTGTAATAAGTAAATATTATTTAAGTGAATTATTTGAAATTACCAATAGAATAGCAATTGTATGTTATAATAAAACTTGTGGTACATCGTATGAACATTAATTCTAATTATAAATAGATTTTATAATCAAGAAACTTTTAATATCGAGTGAGAGTCACATATATTAATTATTGGACTATACATATTTGAATGTTCATTTCTGATTTCTATTCTTTCTTAGTTGGCGACTGACTTCCGTTATGAGAAATAAAAAATATGAACGAAGCACTGGATACAATTATCCTTAATTCATTCCGCATTTCACTTGCTATAGCTCTCATCATCATTATCTACAAAAGGGCTTCAGCAGTACAAACAATCAATCCAGACTTGAAAAAGTTGATACACAGATATTTTTCTTGCTACATTGCATTATTCTTAGCCGCATTCATTCAAATGCCATACAGATGCCATCTTCTTCTCAACAAAGGTCTTACACATGCACAAATATCAGAAATTTTCGGAATTGCAAATATTTTCGTCGCATTATGGAATTTATTTATGCCAATTGCTCTTAAAAAGCTTGGACACGCAAATTTATGCATTATCGTTGCATTATCATACTTCTTTAATGCAGGAATTCTTGCTTTTGGATCACAATTCACTCATTTTGCAATTGCCGGATGTTTACAAGGTCTTACAATGCCAACAGCCATGATGGCTCTCATGGACTACTGGATGACCGAAGAATTACTTCTTCCTCAAAATTCGAACGCAAATTACATATTTAACGAGCAGAGAGTCGCAATGTCTCTGTTCATGTCATCATCCTCATCAATGATAAGCAATGCTGTTGCTCACAATTGGGGTGTAGAAGCGATTTTTTCGTTTACTTTGTCTATTCCATTGGCTTCCATTATTTTACTTGTCTCATTGCTCCATGTTAAAGAGAAACCAGAAGAAAAGTCAATTGGTGGTGATTTTTCGAAATTAAAGCTTTGGTTGACCGAATCTCCAAAAAATATAATTATAATTTTCACAGAAATCGCATTTGCGTCATCAATCATATCGTCATACATCATATGTCGGCGTTTCTATTCACTCCTACTTACAAACCATCAATGGGATACGTACAAGGCGTTTACGGAGTTTTCGACATAATTTCAACGCAAATTTTCTCTTTGATCTCAAAAAGATTGCCGGTTACATTATGGGCAATGTTATTCATGACAACCATGGCAATAGTAATGTTCACAATGCTTGCTTTTTATGAAAACAAAATTATTATTTTCTTTTTAATAGGTTTGACATCATCAATCATATCAGTAACACATGGTGTATTCATAGAGATCAGGAAATTATACTATCCTGGTAGAATTCGTAATTATATTATGACAATTGTAAAATTACCAACATCATTGGTTTCATTTGCCATACTCTGGTTCACAAAGGACTATAATGCAATGTCGCTCCTTATTATGGCATCAATTGTCATGATTTGGGGTGCATTTTTCTCATTCCTTGTCCATATCAGAGAAATGAGCGAACAAACTGAAGATCATCTACTCGAAGAAGATCAAGCCGCTATTACTGATAAAATTGATGAAAAACAATTAGAAAATTTCGATGAAGAAGAAAATGATGAAGATGAAGAAGACCATGAATCAGCATAATACATATATATATATTTCTATCAATAAATTTGTTGTTTGTTTTGATTATGTATTAAATTTTATTTATGAAAAATCAAACCAAAGTCGTATTTTATAATTGAAATCGTATATTTTGAATATGGCATTCCAAACGGGAACCGCGGTTGGTTACCATGGATTTCCGTCACCGGTCACATTTTAAAGATTTTTAAAGCCTTATAAAAATATGCTTTGTAAATCATTTTTTGGAAATCGGCAAAAATTTGGTAATTTTCTTCAACTAATAAATCTGCGAATAGCATTTATAATACAAGAACAATCTTTTAAAATGCGTTTGATTCATTTTTGTATAATTTCATATAGGCACATATATTCTTCCGGGACTTTCCGTGATTTTACCGTAAAATCATTAGTTTACACCAATTTTTCCGTATTTTGAATAGTTTACTGCACTTTTTCCGTAAAATTGAGTTACGGGAATCCGCAAAATTTCCGGACCTCATTTTTCATAGAATATAATAATAATATTTGATAAAAAGATATATTATTTATATTTTTGATTTTTGAATTACGGAAAAAGTGAATTGTTAACTTGATTTTTTTATATGGTTAATTTTTCAAATGATATTATGAAGATCTAAAATATTAAAAGTAAAAAATTGAATTACGGAAAAAGTGAGGTCAAAAGTGAAATAAATTTGCAGAACAATTTTCATTGAAATAAGACATTGAGTATCACACTTTAGTGAATCAACATCTATAAGAATGAAGTGTTTTGAAGCTGAAATAATATTGAATAGAAATTAATTTTTTCTGAAATTTTGAATGAAATTATGGGAAATAAAAAAATTACTAAATATTGTATTCATACAAATATATTATTTTAAAGGAAAAATAGATGCTGATAGAAACGATGAAAAATTTTGAAAACTTTACAATTAATTTATGTTCGTTAACCACAGAGCTTGCAATCCAAAGCTCACGTTAGACTACAAGAGTCATGAAGTCTCATACTAAGGGATATCCAACATATATTTTAATAATCTAATGTTTGTGACAAATATTCAACATAAAATTAAGTTTTCGTTTCGTTACAAGGCATTCATACTTTGGAGATATCATATTTAATGTACAGAAAAGTTAATATTAAACAATACATGCTAAAGAATTAATAAATAAGATAATAAAATAAATTTATACGTAATTACTTTCATTTAATATGCTTTATGCTGTATAATATTGATTAAGAGGCATTAAAAGGTTCCATAGTCTGCTTTTATAGGCAAGATTTTTGATAAAAATTTAAAATTTTGAAAAATGATGAGAAAAGGAAAAAAAAGGTAAATGAGAGCAAGAGGAGGGAAAAAAAAGAAAAAGAAAAGAAAGGGAAGGGAAAAATAAAAGAAAGAAGGACATATAAAAATTTAGATGCGCATTCTTAATGCCGAGGCGGCTTGCCGCCGAGGCGCGATTTTTTTAGGCCTCTACGGTAACCCGGCAATGTTTTTTTAAATCTTGTACAGCCCTAATTTTGAACTTTGAGAGACAGACGTGAAGAATATGATTTCAAGTTTAAACTTGAATTCTCATTCATACAATTATTTTTATTTTTTTTTGATTCAAATTCTGTTCGGCGTTAAAAGCAAAAAGAATAATAAGCTTGTTGAATTTTTATCAGGAAAAATTAAAAGTGACCTTTTTTAAAAAATCGTGCCAGCTGGCCAAAAAAGGTGTGCGAGCAGGCGTCCCAATTTGCACAACCCTAGAGTTCACCATCAGAATTAGTTTTTGCACCTTTTGACATTAATAGATTCACTATTTTGTTTGCATCTTGCCAGTCAAGGAATTGTAAATGATTATCATCCCCAGCATCACGGAGTTCAATATATTCTGCATGTTTCGCTTTTTCACGCATAAATGCAATATCAAGAGGAGTCTGACCTTTTTTATTTAATTCATAAATTTTGGCACCATGAGAAATTAATATTTCAATGATTTCGAAACTAGACATTGCTATTGCTAGATGAAGAGGGGTATTCCCATCATGAAATGGTTTATTGACATCTGCACCATTTGAAAGTAAAAGCTCAATCAAATCATTGTTTTTTTTTATGAATATCAAAAGAATTTATAAAATCTTCATTAAATATTTGAGAATAACTATTAACAATAGCTTCCATGATAGTTTCATCACCAAAGAACAAGATATGATGAATAGGAGTATTTCCACGAAAATCTCCCAAGTTGACATTTGCACCATGTGAAATAAGAAGTTCAGCAATTTCTTTATAATTAAACATAGATGCAAATATAAGGGGCGAATAACGATAAAGGCTATTTTGATCATTTACATTTGCACCATGTGAAATTAGAATATCAACAGCTTTAATATTATTAAGCATGCATGCAATATGAATCATTGAAAGTTGTTGATTTTTATCTATGTATTTGGCGTCAGCTCCATGCGTAACAAGTAAATCCACCATATTAGTATTATTTGAAGAGATGGCAATATTAAGTGAATGTCCATCAATTTCAACTCCATTTGAAATAAGATCTAATACAATATCTGTTTGATTTTTCTTGACTGCGTCATGAAGAGCTATTCCTTGGCTCAGTTTTCGTAGTTGAAAAAGTAATATGATAAGCATTATTTCGATTGATTAACAAAAAATGTCAAAAAACATAAAAAATCCAAAATCTAAACTACGATTATTTTTGATTCAAATACTATTTGGTATTGTAAACAATAATTATTATATGAAAATTTACACTTTTCCGACGTTTTGTCAGAGGCGCGGCGCGACCCAAAATAAGCAAAGGCACTTTGATCAATAGTTTTCAAATTCTCAGAAAATGTTACATTGGTTAAATTTGAACAATAAGTGAAAGCTGCTATCTCAATAGTGGATAGTTTATCAGGGAAATTAATGTATGTAAGTTTAAAACAATACATGAAGGCACCATTTTTGATTGTTGTTATACCGCTTGGTAGCGTAATATTAATAAGACTAGAACAATGTCGGAATTCTTCGCGTTCTACACTTGTGATCATGCCTGGAATAATTATTTCTGAAAGATTTGAACATCCAAAAAATACACCCGATCCAATATATGTTAAACTATCAGGAAGATTAATATTTTTAAGACTTGAACAAAAACTAAATGTCCTGCCCGTTAACCTTATTAATCTATAAGGGAGAACTATATTTTCAAGACTTGTGCAACCCGAAAAAACATCATAGGCAATAGTCCTTAGGCTATTTGGAAGAGTGATATTTGTAAGACTTGAACAACCTTGGAATGCAAATTGATCTAAATATGTTATTCCATTAGGAATTGTTATATTGTTAATATTAGAGCACCCAGCAAATACACTATTGGGAATAACACTCACCAACCACCCAAATATTCAATTTGCTGTCAAACTGCTTGGAATATTGATATTGCTTAGATTTGAACAGTTACGGAATGCATTAGAGTCAATTATTTTTAGTCTATTTGGTAATAAGATATTAGTAATTCCATGACAATACATGAATGCAGAGTTTCCAATTTTTTCTAAAAAATTAGGGAAAGCTATATTGGATAAGCTACAACAATCATAAAATGATCCAATACCTATCTGAATTAATGAATCAGGAAAATGGAGAGAAGTTAGACTTATGCATCCGAAGAATGCACAATAATCAATAGATAATAAACTTGAGGGAAAAATTATGTTTTTTAGACCAGAACAATTGCAGAATGTATAATTTTCAATTTTTTGTATATATTCAGGAAGAATGATTTCATTTATTTTTGAACATTGATAGAATGCATATTTTTCAATAGTTCGTAAACTCTCAGGTAGAATGATTTTCTCAAGATTCGCGCAATTAGAAAATGATCCATTTTTGATTGTTATGAATCCTTCATTTATCGAAATATATTTTATTTCTGCACAATTATAACAAAAATTTGAAGGAACATATGTTCCATTAATAATTGTCAAATTTGTAGTGGTTCTATCTTCAATGGGCAATGACTGGCATTCCCCATTAAATATGTCAATCGAATATGTACCATCTTTATTATCTGAAAGAATACAGTGCATTTATTGGAAAAAATAAATAATAAAATTTCGAAGAAAATTAGAAAAAATGCATCGCATTATTGAGATCGCATTATTGGCAAATCACACTTAATGATCAGCGAACTGACAAGAATTTATTCTCTACAATTACAACTATCTTGCTAAAAAATCTGACAATAAAAAATCTGATCAGAATCAAATAATACAATTTAACTGGATATTCTATTTTACATTGTATTGGTTCTAATTTTATAACTTTATTTTTTCCGAAATCAACTGTAGAACGATATCGGAAGTTGTGAAGAATGTTAACATTTCTTTTTCAAAAGGTGGCATACAAGATAAAATTCTATTATTCGCCCTTAATAATTTGAAGAGAAAACGATAAATTTCTATTCGTTCTACGTCCATCATTGTTTATTGTATTTTGTAAATACCAATATTATATTCTCTTCACACACACACACAAAAAAAAATTAAATCAACCTCTGCAATTCGGGTGAGAAAAACCAGGTGAAATGAGGGGAATTATGATTATTGTCTTTATTGAGGAATAAAGAACAACATAAAAATCTAATTTAGATAAATAAAATTTTTTTGTTTATATTTTTTTAAGCCGAGTTATTTCTTTGTTTTGGAGGAAGTGCTTCAGGTATTTTTCCAAGATTTGTGTCTGTCATTGAGAAATCTACAGTTCCAACCTGAGAAGACATTGACTTCTGCATCTCCACGAACTGTTCCTTGATCTGGTTGTGGAGAGGTAAATAAGCATCAGAAACAACGTAGTCGTGGACAGAAATTGCGAAATTCACTGCCTTCAGCTGAGTCACGAATGCTTCTTTTAGTTTGGGAGCCCATTTCTTCTGTTCCGGAAGATTTGCCAAATCTCCCTCCAAGAAAAGTTCCTGGAACAACTTAGTTCCACCATTAACAGCCGCATTTACAATACCATTGATGAGCATAGAGAAAGCACTTACAGCTGTCTCATCGAACTTAACATTGTATGTCAGACATCTCCAGTAATGTGATGCCTTCTGAAGAAGTTCGAGAGATTTAGCATTAGTGTCGAAAACAGCGCATTCTACTGGGGACATCTTTCTTACTTCACTCTGTTTGACGACTAATGCACGTCTTGCGATTCCTTGGAGAGGATATTCCACTTGGTATTCAGTGATGTGTCTGTGGTATTCAGCGATTTCGTTGTATTTCTTTTCTTCTATCTTTACTCTGACAGGAACTTCGCTGAAGAACTTCTGTATTCTGCAAACAGTTCTCGTCATTACACTTCCTGGACTTTCTTCTGGACAATAACTGTCTTCTACAAGAGGTTTGACGTTGAAAACATAGACGTATCCGTTTGGATATTCAGTGTTTTCTTGTGGTGGACGTGGAGAACATTCCGCATTCGGGAATTTCTGTTTGATGTAAGATAACATTTGTCCGTTATCGAAATATCCACCTCTCCTGTAAACGAAGAACTTGTTCTTGTGGCATTCGTCGAAATTGCCACCGATGAACTTACATCCGTAGAAACGATTGAGTTGTGTCCTTTCTACTGTTGTTACTTCTGTCCATGCATTCGCTTCCATTTCACAGACTTCTGCGATTAACGCAAAATCGTATTTGCTCTCGCCAATTCTGCGAAGTTCTTCTGCACATTCGATAGCGTGCTCGAAGAACTGCGATTGCATGAACAGTTCGTAACTCCTCTTAAGAAGCATCTTCTTCCTTTCGAGTGTAGTTTGAGCTGGGAATGTCGATTCTGGCCTCAATTCATCGTCATCTTTCGATTTGTCAACTAAAAATTGATAAACGTTTCTAAAAACTTCTGCTGCTTCTACTTGGTTGTTTAGAGCAACATGGAGATCGTAGAGCATCATGGCGAAGTGTGGATAGTTCGAAAGACTACTTTCGGAGTTTTTGAAGCCTTCGAGAAGGAAATTAATTGATGTGACTCTTTCGTCTTCATATGAAGCGTTTGGTGGATAGTAGCTGAGGTTCGCGAGGTTCTGAGAGAACTGGGTGAGTTTTTCGACACTTTGCTTAGCGGAAGGAAGAATCTGAGTAATAATGTCGAAAATTGAGACAATTTCGGCCATTCCTTCAACAGACATGACGGCAATAAGGGCATCAACAATCGGTGTTTCGATTGCTTGTACTTTTTGGCCTTCTGCTGTGAAGATTTGACCAAATGCATTTCTAATTCCTTGTCTGACTGGCTGATCCTTGGAAGAAACGTACATGTGGAACAAAGGAATGAAAATAGAGCTATCGAAGTGATAATTAGGGGGAACTGAGTCAATAAGAAGGGGAAGTAGATGCGAAATCGGAGTTAAATTGATTGCGTACATCTGGTTGTAAATTAATCGGTCAAGAGGTGTAAGAACTTCAAGGCGATGCAAAAATTGTCTGTAGAAATTTGAGATGGTCTTAATTAATAAGATAACATCTTTCCTTGTTTGGCTGAATTGGTCGTCCTGGCTCAGCAAAAACACTTTTACGAAGGCTGGAACCAAAGCGAATAAGATTGATGGAGGAGCTGTATCTACAGCTTTCAATATCATCTCTGTAACCTCTGTAAACGCTTGAGCCTGGTTGCCATTGCATGTAAGGAACGATTTAACACCTATAGGAAGCGAGTAATAAATGAATAATATGATTTGATTTGCGTAATCTGGGTTTCCGATCATATTTGCGAACAAAGGAGTAACGTGTGAGACAGCAGATGAAAAACTCGAGGAGCTTCCAAGCATATCGAAGAAGATTGTTGTGGCAAGAGGTAAAATTTTCTCCGAAAAGACCTGTTTGTAGTCTTCTTTGGTCAGTTCCTTGATGATTTCAGGTAAGAGACCCCTTCTAATCTTTTCGTTCCTGAAGATTTCGGCATTCGCAAAGTGGTCGAAGACTTTAACTCTATCGTTGACGTTGCTAGGGGTGGAATTGAACGCGATAAGGGCTAATTCGACGATTTCCTTCTTGGAGAAGAAGTAATCCATGATTTGAAGCATATGAGGAAGAGCTCTGATCAAAAATTGGCGCTGGACAACGGCGGATTCAGCTGTATCACTGATCTTCTTGCATGTGCTGTCGAAAACTCTTCTGAAATCGTTTCTAATTTGTGCTTCATTCACATTTTGTTTAATTTTCTTCGCAAAATTGATGGAAACAACGGTAATTCTTAATACGCTGGCCAATGTTCTCTGAATATTGGCCAAAGCGCGTCTTAATTTCTCTCCTTCCTCTGAATTATTATTTTGATGTTGAGAATCAATTGCTTTACCTGTGAATTGGAGCAAATTGACACCCAACTTGGACAAGAATGAGTTCTCTTCGACGAACATCGCAAAGAATGATGTTAATACTCTTTCCATGAACGGATCTCTTGTAGAATATTGATCAATCGACTTCAAACAAGAGACAAAGGCATAAAGAGCACGTTCAGAGTTACGTTCATCGTTTACAATGATCTTTGCCAGTTCAAATAAGATCTTTGGTCCCCAGGCATAGTAATACTGGACTTCTAAGATCTGGATATCATCAAATGTGGCATCCTTTGTCGGAACAGTCGTCAAAAGCTTGTTAACGTCTGGGAATTTGGAGAATTTATTTGATATCAAGGAAGTTTCAACGGTAATGAAGCCTGGATCGCCTGGTTCCTTGAAGCATTCTTCGAAGGAGTGGAAATTAGTGATTTCCGTTGTAATTGTTTGCGAATCTATCGTTTTCGGAGGTTTAATCAGCTTCAAAACCCTTGGAGAAGTGAATTCGTACATGCAACCGTTCTTTATATCATAAAGAGGTGAGAAACAATACGAAGAAATGTAAGATTCGCCCGGCGGTTTGAAAGATCTCTCAACGAAGAAGACCAAGAAGGCGAAATCAAGGCTTGGGAAGAGACTTGTATCAATTTGGACTTGTACGACTTCTTCCATGTCGAAATCGAGAAATCCGCGTTGAATCGTAGTTACAGCGCAACATGGGTCTTTTTCTGTAGGAAAACAAGGTACAAATGCATCGCTCTTCGATGACAAGTCGACAGCCCTTACAATTATCCTTGTAGGTTTAATTTTCGTTTTATGACGAAGATGCGTAATTTTTACGTATAATTGGCTGACGTCGTAGTTCGAACCGACATTTATCGGATATTTGAAGCTTCCTAATTTGTTCAAACCGTTGTCTGCAGGTTTTTGTGGATTTGTGGCTTCGCAGTTCTGTTGGTAGCTTGAATATGAGATCTTTAGTGGTGGGCAGTCGATGGACGGTGTATACGTCTGCTTGTTTTCGAGGATATCCCTGTATAATGAGGAGATAGGAGCATCCTTGGAGGTAAAGAATTTAATATCGAAGGTTTGGTCGTGGCCGATCTTAAAAGGTTTATCTGCTGTTGATAATTTCTCTACTCCGCACGCTTTATACTCAGCGAAATATGTATTATTTCCTTCTGCGTAATCTGAGATAAATACGACAATGGCGAGGTTGTTGATGATCTTGGGATCGATATCGGGGCATAAGAACGTATCAACGAAATGATTTGATGTAAAAATTGAAGTTTTTTGTAAAGAAACTAATGTTTTCGCAGTAATATTGTATAAAAATATCTTGATATGAACTGGAGTTGGTTGAGGATCTGATTGGATAGCAAAGTTCATTAATATTGTCTCTTGATAATTTTGATGAGTTTGTTTCTTTGTTGTTTTCTTTGTTTCGGAAGTAATATCGTGGATAATCGTCATTGTTCCATTTTGGTTTCTTTCTGGCTGCTTGATGTGAATGAATTCACGCAGTTCTTCGATGTATTTGTATAATAAACCACGATCTGTATCACTAGACAAAGGATAAGTGCGCTGAATCTTACTAACTAAATCTAAAATTTTGCAGAATGAAGCATCATCTTCTTTGGCAGGGATTAAAAAGTTCTTATAAAGTTCAATAAATAAATACTTGATTTCTAAGCTAAATTTGCGGTTGAGAATATCAATTTCGTCTTTATACTCTCCTAAATAGCTCTTGGGACAAATGCCAAGGCATCCGGTTGAGATACATCTTGCAAATACCCAATCTCCATTTTCTTTTAACACTTCGAGTGTATCATAACGAGTAGTAGTTAAATGGTACTTCTCGGTGGATGAATAAGGATAAAGAGCAATTGCTTTATAACTACAATCCTTCCATGACATTTTTACGTAATTTTGAATTTGAGACTTCATTTCACTATTTCGTAATGTTCATTCCATTATCATCAATTGGACACACAAAAATTGATTCTGCTTTCAGTCAGAAATCTTCAGAATTTTTTTTTGCAAAAATTTTACAATGTCAATAATCCTGATGCCATCAGTCTAGAATAAGTTAAAAATGCAGATTAACAAAACATTTGACATTTGGTGCAAGATATTGAGGAAGATAAATGAACTTATAACTAATGTCACTAGGAAATATCAATGAGAGTGACTTACAGCTTTGCATCGGTGTTCCTTCAAATATGTGACAAAGCATCTTAAAGTTGAGTAATTTTTCTCATTTCAATTATCTACTTCTGTCCAAGATGAGCAATATTGAACCTCTCATTTGAGTTTTCTCAGTTCTGTATCAGAAATTTTGCAGCTTCATATATTTTTTGTTTGCTGCACAAAGAAGAGCCGTTCGACCCATTTAATATTGTTTAAAATCTTGCGACTATGCATTATTTGATAATGCTTATGCATGATTATAATGTATCCTATTTTTAATTTCTACGAAAAATTAATTTGATATTCCAACTCCACATAAATTAAGCGTAGTTTCAGCATTATTTCGTTAAACCAACACTCGGAAATGCGTGTTAAACATAGTCAATCGCTTGTCAACTCTTTTTGGCACTTCGATCAAGCTTTTCTGATTATTTCGACCCAGTTGAGCTTAATACTAAAACAACTAACGAAACTATATCAGGGAATGGCAGTTATTACATTTATCATGCAGTATTTTCTTTCCATTATCAAGAAACAGCAATTTTCCTTAATTCTAGCAGCAAAGTATTGCTCGAAACATGCACATTTTACAATAACAGCTCCACAGAAATGGGCGGATCATTCTATATCCAACAAAGCGAATCTGTCTTAGTTCGTATTTGCATATTCTTTTCATATGCTCAACATGGATGCGGATATTATATTCAAACAGTTGAATATTCTACCAACAAAAATTATGCATTTGAATGTTCAGTTTCAGAATGCAATGGTTTTGATGCTTCTATTTATCATCAATATGGAGAAATCAAAGTAAGTAATATGAACACATCTTATAACAGAATTAATATGCATGCTGCATATGTAATCGACACTCAACTTGGAAGCGTGAATTTTACCACAGTTTCAAATTCATCATCTTCACATTTGGATCTAACATATAGTGAAAGCTATATTATTTTTACAAAATGCAATCATTTAAACAATGAATATACAGGAATCGAAAATGCAATATTTTATTGCTGGGGTACTATTAGATATTTAAATTGTTCATTTATAAGAAATGTAGGAAATTATCTATTTTTTAGTAAACCAGACATTACACATTGTTACTTTGATAAAAACGAGTTTACTCGAACTGTAAATCAAGTTTATACAGGTTCTTTTGATTCAATCGAACCGTTAAATTCATTTATATCTCATTATGCAGTTGAAGGATGTCCTCGTGCATATAATTATAATAATAATTCATATAATGATGATGAGGACGAATTAGATCTCGAAGACATCAAAAATATTTTAAGCAGTGTTTACAACACCTCATTTTTTGAAGCAGTAAATTTACTTTAAAATAATAAAATATATTTTTATATAGTATATGACTTAAATTGATAGCCACTTCTAAGTTTAAGTACATCTTTATATAGGATATGTCATTTAGGTCATTAAGAAACAATTTATATCTGAAATTTAAAAAATAACACATTTTATAGTTGTATATTTAACAAATAGTTTTCTATTGAGTTGGTGAAGCTTGTTCATCAGTATTTTTGCCGAGGAATAGTTGAATGTTCTTGTGAATTCCTAAAACTGCTTGTTTCCTTCTTTCATTTGACTTTTCAGCCATTTCTATATTAGTCTCATCCTCTTTATTCTTTAACTCACAATTTTCGATATCTTTGATGAGTTTATCTGTATGAATATTTGATGTTTCTTCTTTTAATTTCATTAATTCGTTGTATTTCGCTAATTTTTCATCTACATCTTGCTTTTCTTTTTCTAAAACTGTTATTTCTTCTTTCAATTTGTCGATTTGAGAATTTGCTGCAGTAATTTCATTATTCCATTGAGGAATCATTGAGTTAAGTATGCTAACTTCTTGGTTGAGAAGACTATATTCTGCTTCTGCCGTATCTATAACAAGAAGAAGCTGTTTTTTCAAATCTTCAAATTTTGTAGGGTCAGCATTGGAAAGAATTTCAGCATACGAAGTATGTAAATCTTTGGCAGGTATTAATCTTGCGTTAACTTTAACTTGGGCTGCTGTTTTCAGTGTAGTCGCATCATTAATCGAGTCCATTTATTTTTTTTTACTAAACCAAAAAAATCGGATACATTATTATTTCCAAAAATTAGACATGGAAAATGATGTTGAACTGACCAACTAAGTTTATGATTGCATAGTGTTTTCTATTTCTTCCGTTTTTGGTCTCAAAATATTTCAATTTTTCAAAGAATGCGGAATGATTTGAAAAAATATTTCAAAAATCTTTGACAAAAAAATAAAAATCATTTTTGAAAAAAATGTTGACAATGATTACTGTTCCTTATCTCAACACAGGTCTTCCTGGCTTCTTGACACAGCATGCTGTTGAGATTCACGTCAAAAAACATCATCAGGCATATATTGACAACGCAAATAAACTATTAAATGGTTCAGATTACGAAGGCAAGCCTATCACTCAAATCATTCAGGAGTCATCAGGAGCTCTTTTCAATAATGTAGCTCAGCACTATAATCATTGCTTCTTTTGGAACTGTCTTTCCGCAAAAATACAACAAATACCAATGGATCTTGAAGAATTTTTCACAAATAACTTCAAATCATATGATAATTTCAAGGCCGAATTCATTAATAAGGCTTCCACACTCTTTGGATCCGGTTGGTGTTATCTTTACAAAGATACTAAGACTGGTGAATTCAAAATAGACCAATTCACTAATGCCAACAATCCAGTAAAGGATGGAAATATTCCAATCTTAACTGTTGATACTTGGGAACACTCATGGTACATTGATTATGAAAATCGCAAGGCAGAGTATTTCAATAAGTTCTTTGAGCATATTAATTGGAAGTTTGTCTTGGAAAACTATAATACTGCCACTGGAAGAGTTCAAAAAGAGAAAAATTTACCAAAAGTTGAACCAAAAATAAAACGTCATCCTCAAAATAAGTAAATTTATGATATGTAGTAAACGCTAAAGTATATTGTATTAATTGAATTTTTTTTGACAAAATTTTTTCGGATTTTGTCATGGGAGATGAATCATGTTCAATCTATGATGATTCAGTAGGGGTCAAAATATGCTTTTTAGGAGACTCCTCAGTTGGAAAGACATCAATCATCAACGTGATTCAAGGAAAGGGCTTGACAACTGATCAAATGTCAACGATAGGTGCAGCTTTCTATATTAGAAAGATTAAAGTAGATGGAGATCATATGGTTAAGCTACATATTTGGGATACTGCTGGCCAAGAAAGATTTCGTGCATTGACAACATCATATTACCGTGATGCGGAAATTATTTTCTTAGTTTATGCAATAAATTCAGAAACATCTTTCTTGGACCTTGATACTTTCATAGAAAGCATCAATGACAACTGCATTTCAAAGCCCCAAATATATATTCTCGGAAACAAGTCAGATCTTGAATCGGAAAGAACAGTTACTGCAGAACGTGGACAGGCTTATGCTACTTCCATTAATGCAGAATTTTCCGAAGTATCTGCTGCAAACACCACTGACCTTATCATCAGTATTATTGATGAAACAGCTATAAAATACGTAAAGTCAGCATCTCAAAACCATAAATCCGATAAAAAACTTGCAATTGCAGATAATGATCAAAATACAAAGAAGAAGAAATGTTGTTAGTTATATGTTTTTTACACATGTCATGAACTAAAATTTAGTTATTTAAAATTTATTTAGAATCCAATTTTTTTTATTCGCACAAATTCGTGAAAATAAAAATATTGTCCAAAATAGCATGATTTATTAGTAATAACTCATGGTTTTATATAAGCATAATACTTCTTGGCTTATATATATTGATGCATGAGTTATACAATCAGATGACTATTAGATTCCATGTTTTTGATATTCGAAAGAAAGTTTGTGATTTATTGTTTTTCAAAAAGTGACATATCAATTTACATGACATTTTTGCTTACTTGACAGAAAACAGAGTGATAAATTTACAATCATTCTAAAATGATATCTGATAATTACTATCAAGATCCAAGTGGCCCACAGCCTCATCAACAACAGCAGCCACAGCCACAACCTCAAACAATTCCACAATTCATGAGTCCTGAAGTGTTAAAGATGGCTTCAGTTATGACAAATGCTTATCTCCCAGATGAGATCAAAAATCTTGATCCTAAACAACTTGAACAGAGAATCGCACAAAGCCAAGCCCTTATTCCATCTTATTTTGCTGTTACTCCAAATTCAATTATTCACCGCATAAAGAATTTGGCCTGTCCATTTTTCGTTAAACAATGGTCAAGATCAGTACCAGAGGGACAACAATTCATTCCTATTAATAATCCAAACGCTCCAGAATTATATACTCCTATTACTTTCTGCTTCTTATTCTTCTTACTCTCTGCTCTCATTTCTGGAGTCCAGAACAAGTTTTCTATGGACTACCTTTACCTCCAAATCATCAAATTTGGATTAATTATTTTTGTTGAAGTAGCAATTTGCAAGACACTCTTTAAGAATGTTGGTGTTCAAGGAAGCTATCCAATTTTATCTTTAATTGCCGACTTTTCTTGCTTATCATTTTATATGTGCGTTGTTACTCTTTTCTCATGGAATTGCGCTCTCTACTGGATTTCATTTTTGTACTGCGCTTTCTCAGCCATGATTTGGACATTGAGAACTTTGAATAGCGAACAATGCATGGCAGGCCGTCAGTCTTCATCAACTGTTATCACATACGTTTTGTTATTCCTTGCCTTAGCTCAAATTGCTCTTCTCTTCTTCCTTGCTCCAACAATTTACAATATTGGAACAAAAGTTGCAGCACCAGCTCCAGCAGCAACTCCAGTTCCAGTTCAAACAGAGTTAGTTGTTGAATGAATTACTTGAAACTTGTTTTTGTCCTTAATCTTTCTACTAAATACATTTTTTTCTTAATTTTCTTATTTTTAAATAAGACCAGAATGAAAATAAGGCTTCATGTGTTCTTAGCTTCATATCTAAGACCATAGCCAATCAAATCCAAATTTTCGGTTGCATGCGGAAAGAATTCTGGACGTGGATAAATGAAATCAGATTTTTTACTTTATCAACATGACTCAGAAACAATATGGTGAATATTTTTCAGTTTTCAAATAAAATCAATGAAATTTCGGCAAACCATTTCCATTTACAATCTATAAGATCTAATTTATCATATATTTCATTATCAGGCATTGTTATTTTTAAATACTTTCTCAAATATTTAAGGGAACTCAGTGAATTGCAATTCAGCAGATTACAAATGGGACCGTCGCCAAGCACGGCGGACCCAAATAAAAGGCATCATTCACGCCAACATCATACAGACCATCCAAATGAAGAACAAAAAATAGATCCTATTGCACTTCAAGAGGAGTTCTTTGCACAAGAAGCTCTAAAACCATTATTACGCACAGGATTCGCTGGGCAATGGTCAGTAGAAACGTTCGTTGGAAAACATCCAGTCGAAAGAAATGGCCAATTCTCAGTAATTTCGAAATTACGAAACTCATTAATTATAGGTTACGGGCAGGATACTAATGGCGTTGCACTAAACGACGTTTGGGAATTAAATCTCGATTCAAAGCAGTGGCATCAAATCAAATTGAAAGGCGACATTCAATTACCTCGAATTTCAGCATCTGCTTGTATTCAAGACGAAATTCTTTATATATTTGGTGGCAGAATTGCAGGCACATACCTTGATGATCTCCATTCTATTGATTTGAAGACTGGCGAAGTCAAATTAATTTCAACCCATAATGACCCTCCATCACCAAGAGCTTCCCCGGTAATTGCAGTACACAATAATAACCTATACGTATGGGGTGGCTTGAACGAAGCATGGCCTGATGATCTTCATACTTTAGATCTCTCCACAGGAGCATGGTCAACATCCAAACCAGGCCTATCGGGAAGAGCAAATATACCAACAGCTATTTACGAAAACTGCGTCTACGGATACGGCTGTTCGAGATCTGGCGGTTTTATCGTTATAGATCTTGAAAATGGACAGGCGACAATTAAAAAAGCAGATGGTGAAGCTCCACCAAGCGATATTAATGCTGGCGGTATGTGTCTTGTTGATCATTTCTTGATATATTTTGGCGGAATTTCAGAAAATGAATATATGCTTGTACATGCTTGCGACTTACATAGAATGCGCTGGTTTACGTTCTGGGTGACACCAGATGGCGAAACAGTCACGCAAAATGACGGATTTACAGATGAAAAAGGTCTCTTCCATTTACCAAATATTCATAGCTTCAGCGTAGCATACAGTGAAAAGACACGCGAAATTGTGTCTTGTCTTGGTGTTCCTGCGCATGATCCTCCAATGGTTTCTATTTTTTCTGTTGGAGAAGCTTTATCTGTATTGCATCTTCGCGATGACTTGTTGGATACTCTATCACCAGCTCAAAATTAATTTGTTTTCTATTTTTTAAATATAAAATAATATATTGATTTGATATGTTTCTCAAATAATAAATTTTTGCTTATTTCTAAATATCAAAGCCAATAAACCTCATAAATTCCAAAACGATAAGTTTGAAATTTAATATCTCAAAATTATTCAATTGTTACAATGACAATTCTTCATACCTATATCTAAATAAAACTTTTAATCTATTTAGGATTCTTTGGGTGTCTACATTGACATATGTTTTTACATCGTTGACAATACCCCTATAGATGATACATGTATTCTTTATATTCAAGTCATTAACAGCTATTTGATTATTTTTGACCCATGATTCTTTATAAAATCCTTTAATCATTTGATAATTTTTAATTTTCTTATTTTAGAATGAGTAAAAAGTTAAATTAATTATGCATATATAAAGTCAAACATTTACTAAACAATTTTAATTAAGCTTTTTTCATCTCAGCCAAAAGCTTAGGAAGATCAAATTCGGTAGAAAGTTCATTATCGAATAGGGAATTGTCTACAGCTGGTATTTCTGGAATAGCAAATTCAAACCATATGTTTTCGCTATTTACAGTTGCTCCTGATGAAGTTGAGTTATCATCGTTAGTTTGTGACGTATCCGTTCCAGATCTATCTTTATCACATGCTATTTCACCTGGTGGATATATTTCATTCTCTATTATAATCAAGGGAGGCTTAGAAACCTCAACTTTCATATCATTTGTTCCCATAACTTGGATTTCAAGAGAATTATTGGTTGCTGTAGTTTTACCGCTTTGAGTGAAGTTAGTTTCCTTATCTTTACTTTCTAATTGGCGGTTTTCAGATTTATTTGCTGGAATTGTTGGAGTTTGAAGCTGAGAAGGTATATTTTTCATCCATCTTTCATCAGACATCTCTCTTTCTAACGAAAGATTGATTCCTCTGTCTTTAACTATTGGCGAACTTGGATTTTCTTCTTGATTACTGCTTTCAATTTCGTCTTCGTGAGGATTACTAAGAATAGATCTATTTGAACCTTGGCTTTCGTTTATTTGGCTGGAATTTTCATGAGAATATTGACTTTGAATTGAATCTTGGCTATGAGTAGTAATTCTTGGTGGAATTGAATTGTAATGAGATTGTAATGGTTCAGGTTCAAGAAATGGATTGATTTCTTGCTTAGATTTTGGAATCGTCTCTGGTAATTGTTTTTGCTCCGGATCTTTTGGATTTGTAGCCGATAAAAACGGCAGTAGATCTTCGGGTTCCGGATTAGATGACTTTTCCACATCATATGGGTTAGATTTCCCTGAGTTGGCACTTGCCCAAGCGTCTAAATCATCATTATCATGCTTTACTGGAACACCACCATCAATTGCTTCTTGGGAAAATGAAACTGATATCCTACGTTCAGATTTTGGAGCTTCATTTTTTGAATCGTAATTAGAATGTTCATTTTCTAAAGAATTTTCATTATTTGATTCATTAGGAACTTGCTGTTGCTGTACTTTAGATTTTGTGGAATCATTGTTACTTTTCGATTTCTCATTGTTTGAATCTTTATTTTCTTTCTTTGCTGTTTTGTTGGCTGATTTAGTTTCATCATCTGAATAATATTCTCCATACGAATCAGAGTAATAACTATAGTAGCCACTGTATTCTTTATCTGTCATTTATTGTAACATAAGGTTAAATTTGAATATACTATCCTTATTCACAGATTTGGTATTTCACAGTGGCACATTAAATAAAAACGATTTTTGTAACTTGATTTGGTATTTGACCTGATTTCAAGAAATTTTGATAAAATCTTCAATAAATATTGGAATATTTGCTTGGATAATATAAGAGCTGATTAGCGAAGCACAAATAAAGGCACTTTCTCCATTTTCTATTGATATTTAAACTAAAAAATCGAAATGATATTTTGAAAAAGTATTTATTTGATAGTTTATTCAAGATACATAAGTATAAAAGCAACGTAATAAGTCATTGAAAAAGAAGTACATCTTTTTACAGGACAACTTACATAACATACGGGTGATCTGGATGGAGTAGCAAATGGAGTCGTTGCAGGAATACATCCAGTGAGGGAATTATTAAAATCAGTTCTCTTGAATAATGTGCTTTGAGTAAAATATGAAGATACAAAAAGAATTGCTTGATTCTCTAGATTCACATCCAAGCTACTATATCCACAATACTCAATTTTACTGATTTTAGAGTAGGAAAATGAATTCGAACTAACTGTTCTTACACCAGCTGGTAACCTAAGTGTAACAATGCTTGAGTTACTGAGGAAATAGTTTGCAATTGTTGTCGTTGTTTCTGGAAATGTAATGAATTCAAGTTTTGGACAATTATAGAACATTTCTATTTCTATTGTTGTGGCAACACACTGCGATAGGTCTAATGTTTTCAAGTTTAGGCAATGTCTAAACATTCTATCTCCAAATTTAAAAACTTCACTTTCAACTTTATAATCAGTGAACTTGCAGCCGGAGAATGCTCCTGAATTAGATATAATACGAATGGTGGGAAGAATTGAAATAGTTTCATTCGAAGGAATAATCTTTAGAATATGCTACACCTTTAAAAATAATCACTTCAGGTGTATTAGTTTTGATTTCATTTAGATATTCAAGGGCACCAAAGGCACCAGATTCTAATGATTTGAAATTTTTAGGAAACGTAAACGTTTTGAGAAGAGAATAACCTGCAAAAAAGTGCGATATTATTTCCATACAATCAGGAAAAATGATCTCTTCTAACGGAGTGTATGCAAAATGAAGTCTTCCCGTAAATTTTATAATTTTTGTTAAGGAAAGATTCGCAAATTTTACATAAGAATACATAAACACACAATCATATATGGAGGTGCAGCTTGTACCTAAAGTGATCGATGTAATCGAACAATTATTAAATGCAAAAGCATCAACAGTAGTAACAGAATCAGGAACCTTGATACTGGTGATTTTACAGTTTTTAAATGCATTTTTCTTTATATAAACTACAGGTTTACTATTGATAAATTCAGGGAGGATTAATTCTCCTTCAATATCCAGTGAGATAGCCTGTTTTTCTCCATCTCCAATATGAGTACTTGTTGAATATTCTGTATAAATAATTGGAGGATCAGTGGTTGTTGTAGGAATTTAGAAGGAGAAAAAAATAAAAAAATTCAATGAATTCTTTTAAGGGTGCACACGAGAGGATCATGTAAACTTCAGAATTTATAACCTTATTTTAGGCATTATCTTGGCTACCTATTTAGGCTCGAAAAGCAAAAAATATCAAAAAATACAACTTGACTCCATTATGACCCTTTCATGGAGGTAGTTTTTATCCGCTAGTATTTTCCCTTTGAATCTCTTTACAATTCAAAATCAAATTCAAATCTCAGTAGAAGAAAGGAAGAATCGACTTACTACGGTTGTAATACGAATAAATACATATATTTAATTATTTTTATTTACATAATAATTGTTTGAAGCTCATATTCCAACAAATTTTTAAATAAAAACATTAAAATGTTGAAAATGTTCATATATTTTAATAGGGTTTTGGCACTTTATTGAGGAATTACTACATACATAGTCGAACTGAACTTGATATTTTGAAATTTAAATTATTTATCAAAATTAAAATTTAACTGAAATTTATAATTATTTAGTCATATTTTGCATAATTCTAAGTAGATTTTGTAAAAAATCAAGAAAGAAAAATTTTAACGTGCTTTATTTTTTCTTTTTTATAATAATACATATTATTATATAATTAACATATTCATAATGTTTCACCCTTTCAAAAATATAATCCTCCTCCTCTCAAATAAACATACATACGGGTGGCCTTTTTTTCAAAAAATTAAAATTTGAAATTTTGGGCTCAAATATTAGAGATTTTTTCAACCTTCAACGATATATGTTGTCTATATCAGACCTCCTTTCTTTTTGATACTTAACATTGTTCCTAAATCTTAGCCGTTAAGGCTGTTCTGAAAATGTTTTTTTTTTTCGAAAAAATTCGAAAAAAATTCTTAAAATTCAAAAATCCCTTAATTCCTGAGGATTTTGGAAAAAAGTTTTTACATGAACATGTGTATATTATATGAAGTATATTGATAAGGTAAAAATCAAATTTTATTGCATATTCATCGAGAAAATAAACTAACGAATCCCTCAAAATTGAGAGGGTAATCCTCCTCCTCTCAAATAAACGTACATACGGGTGCACCCTTAATTGCTTCCCATAACTTCATTTTACATTTTGGTTTGATAAATGATTAACATTACAATAGCTTATACACTGTTGAAAGTACTGCAAAAGATATTTAACAAAATATTAGTTCATTTAGAAGAATTTCGAAAAAGAATAAATCACGGAAAGATACAAACATTATTTCGATGAATCAAAGAATGCATGCAACAATTATAAAAGATTATACCATCAGTAAATGAAATAAACAACATTTTAAATTTGGGATGAAATGAATTGCCACTCTAAAGATGTTAAAGCTAAAAGGTACTGATTATTAGCATATCCAATCTCTTATTTGCATATGTATTGGGGAATATCGATAGATTGTCGATCATCTAAATTATTCTTCGGAAATGGTTTAGACATAAAACTATTTAATGATTTTTAATATATAATTTTGACTATCATGCAACCTTCCTATTATTTATCTTCCTGACAATTCAAAAATATATATTCAGAAAAAGCGAGAAGATAAATTCTCAAAAATTTGAGAATAATACAAATTTTAGATGGTTATCAGAATATTTGATAGCAAAACAATTAATGAAATATTTATTGATTTTTGGAGTGCAGCTATGAATTAAACATTATTAAATTCAATAACCAAGAAATTGAAAACTTTTAATTTTTATAATTGGAGTTAATAACTAATTTCCTAATACATTACCTCGATAAAAAAATTGAAGGATAGGTTATTTCAAAAATATTTTATTGTAATTAGAAATGAGATATTAGAGAAAATGCAATATTTTAAAATAATAAGGGTTTCGTTTTGCGAAAAAAACGTACAATACGCAATTTCGCTAAAAAAACATTTAGCTAGCAATTTCGACCTTTGACTCCACTCAAGACGTCACTTTTTTAATTTTGCGGTATCATATTTTTGGAAAATCTTTATGAATATTATATAAAAAGTCTCTTTAATATCTATATTTCATATTTTTATCGATTTTTAAAGTTTTTGCGAAAAGTATTCAATTATTTTTGCTATTTGGTCGGATAAATGTCAGATTTGCGACATTTTCTGATATGATATTCAGATTCTACGTTGATAATAATGCTTATAGAACCCTCTTGCTATTGTGTCAAAATTGCGAAACCGATAGCAAAAATATCTCGCAATATCAAAATTGAGATATTGAGTGAATTATGCATTATAGAGATTAAAAATCTGATTTGTGAAAACATCTCATCAGTTTCTAGCTAATTCAAAAATCTTTACTATCTTATTCGATTAAAATGAAAAGGGAATAGTTTCATTATGCTTTAAATGACAGCCTTATAATATAATCATAGTTTTCGCTCAATATGCAGCATTTTTTTTTCGAAATCTATGGTCAATGTCCTAAATACTGATTGCTTTGCATTCATATCTCTTACATTTTCTATACCCACATCACTATTCATTGCTATTCCTATCTTTTTCATTTTTGTTTGTTTCTCATAATTTCTCAAAAAACACGATAACTTGATATTTGTAAATATCATACTTTATAACGTAAATAAGAACTTGACCTATTAAGAAAAACAGTAATGAAAAGAAAATCTGAAATTTGTTGCATGCTAAGTTCGGTCAACGATAGGAATTGAGGGGAAATTAATCGTCGAGGAAGTACGATTATGTAAAGTAAAAAATGTTGTGGGATTTTTAATATTGTATATAATTTTATAATAAAATTTTTGTGAGACATTTTAAGAAGCACATATAATTTTTTGAATTTAAAAATTAAAGTAGTGTTGAATGAATTTATTGATTAATTTAATACGGATATTTCTCAAAATTAATCAAAAATAGGTTTTCAGAGAACTTTTGAGATATCTTTTCAAAATGTCTTTTTGAAAATATATAAGTATTATATCAAATTGAAAAAAGGTATTTATCAAAATTCTAAATTCTTAATAAAAAATAACTTTTCAGAGGATTGTGATTTTGAAAGCATGAGTAATAAGTAAAAAATATCTACGATTTTAATGAGGGAATTGTTCCTTATGAGGTATACATTATAACTATATACCTCATAAGGAACAATTTCTAATAGATAGCTGGGAAACTTTCTCTGAATAACTTATCATTTGGAGAAAGTTTCCCAGCTATCTATTAGAAACTAAAGGCTGTGAGGCACTAATATATAATCAGTGCCTCATAGCTTTTAGTTTCTTATTAAAAACGAGAAAACTTGTTCGAAATGATAAACAATTTCGAACAAGTTTTCTCGTTTTAAGGAGGGAATTGTTCCTTATGAGGTATACAGTATGAATATATACCTCATAAGGAACAATTCCCTCTTGATAGCTGGGAAACTTTCTCTGAATAACTTATCATTTGGATAGAAAAAGTGACACTTTACATGGCAAAAAATAGAGCCTTACTTTTGAGATACTTGAGATTGAAACTGAATCTTATGAGGCGGTG